TCAGTCACGGTATTTGGTATCTTGCCGTTAGTTTCAGTATAGGATTGTCTCCGTGTAGACTCAGGATTAGTATCAGTTTCGTTTTGCCATCGTTAACCTCAGTATAGTTTCAGTTTCAGTCCAGCCCAGTCCCAGCCATCGTTTTGCCATCACTAGTTCCCCCTCATATTATCACCCGTTCATCTTATCTTCGTTTTACCACCAGTTTCTCGTTTCTCGACTACAGTCTTCGTCTCTTGCCGTCACGGTATTTGTTATCTTCCCAACAGTAATTCTCTTTGACGGCATTTTCTCTAATTCCGTCAACATCGCCCATGGCTTTTACTAGTTAAATTGCCATCACTTTGTTCACGGTTTGCTGGTATTCCCAGTTATACTGGATTCCATTCCTTCTCATCTATCGAGACCCTTCCCGGCTTACAGCCAACGTTTTCTAGTACTCGATCATTAAGGGTACTACTTCGCTGACTGAAAAGTCGCAGTGTATACTTGCATTCTTGAGGAATTCATCGCACGGAGGTGCACCGAAACACTTGCACAACAACAAAGCCTTTATTGCCGCTATGCGCCATTTGCCATGAACTCCTCTAGAGTTTTGGTTTTTGCCGTTGCCATGGAAGTTTAGGCTCATTAATGGGACAAGGTCGTTGGGAGAGGAAGGACCTGTCGCACGATAACCGAATATCTAGTGAAATGGAAAGGGTACCCCTCCGAAGAAAACTCCTGGGTAAAAAGATCCAGCATGGCTAATGCAGAGGAACTGGTGAACGAGTATGAAGCCCGCCTCCAAAGGATTCAATGGGAAATCGATAAAAGAGGAAGGACGGTCGGGATCGATAACAAGATACCTGCCAACGATAGGGCCACATACCATGAACTGGACACTCCTTGTGTCACCGATATTGAAACAGTCTACTCATCCCAATGCTCTAACCCAAAACATTCAGATACCCAACAAGACTCTTATCCCTCTTCCATTTCTTTGCAACAAATGGATTTGGCAGCCCAAAACTGGCACCCTGCATTCAACCCCAAGCTCGAACCTGAGTTCTTACGAAACAAATGGCCCACTGTCACCACAGATGAAGCCGAAGGAGTACCGATCATAGAGGAAGAGGATGCTGAGGAAGAGGTCAACCTCCAAAACCTCCAACGAATTCATGAAAACTGGAATGCAGATGATGAAGATGAGGACAATGATATACCATCATTCTACTCTGAATCTAAACATTCCTCTTCAGACAGTGACGAATGGGAGTCTGAGGACTCATTCGGGACAAACGAGTCTTAGAGAGGGGGTAATGTTATGGTTTATTCGTTTTTCTTTGTTTTACTCAGCCTGATTACTCATATGCGATCATAATGGACAGTTTCTCACCATACTATTATTAGCATATCCAAGTGTATTTAAGTAGAGCCTTAGCTGGTCTAAACCCCAGCTTCGGCCAAGATCTAATCTACCTAACTGAAAGCTCCCTATTTCATGACTATCTAAGCCCTCGATCGACTTCTACAATCTCCTTTGACCTCTAAGAGTATCGTCCACCGAAGTGCGAGTGGCGATCCTTAGTTGATCTAAGTCGATTAAAGTTGGTTGTTGACAAGCATGGACAATATATTAGTCATCAAAGCCTATCACCAGATATCAATGGTATGGAATATCATTCATGCTGAAGACTCAAGAGAGCCTAGAGCACCTTACAGAAGGCTGGCACCCATGCTGAAAACCTTGCCACCAGGAGGCATTCTGGCTGGAGCACAAGAGGCCAATGACAGCTGGATGGAAGGACAAGGCGAACCCACCAAAACCTCCACCACACAAAAGCTGTCTCAGTTGCCACCAATTCCATGGCACAGTCAGCCAGGTGGCTACTCAAGCCCACACCACAATTACATGCTGAGGTCCCTATCCAGGCCAGTTGATCCAGAATTACTGCCACCAACACCACTGAGATGGCAGATGGATGTTGCTGACATGAATTCATGGGGGAAGGTCAAACCCAAACTTGTAGCAGAACCTGAACCTTTCCATGGGAAGGCCAACAAACTCTGCCAGTTCTTTAACCAGTGCAAGACATACTTTGAGGTATTCGCCAATCACTTTGCCTTAAATGAACAGGGCAATAACCCTTACTGCATCACCTTTGCAACAGGGTACTTCAGAGGAGATGCCTGACTGTGGTGGGACCAACAGAAGCATGTATACCAGGACCCAGTAAGGGGGCATTGGCAATATCCCAATTGGTTTGATTTCCATCAGCAGATTGAGAATTGATTCTGGGAAGAGGCAGAGCTGGTGATAAAGAAACAGAAGTGGCAGAAGCTCCAACAAAAGGACTTCAAATCCACAATCAAATTCTTCACTCAGTTTGAGGAATTGGCCATCAAGTGTGATGAGTACAGTGATGAGAAGCAGATGTTCAAGATGGTTGAGAAGGCAATCCACCCCACCACCAAGAACACAATCATGCATGGCAACAACAATTGCCCAACCATGTATGCAGAATAGAAGCATCAAATTGATTGGATAGATGCCAACTACCACTACAACATCACCCAACAAGGCAGGAATCTCCCAGAACAACTCTGGTTGAGGCAACCAAAACAGCAGAGAGTTGTCAGGAAAAGCCAGCAATTCTGGGAATTCCAACAACAAAAAGGAGTACCCTGAATGGCGATGGATGCAACCGTTTGGTCCTGACTGGACTAGACGAGTGTTCTATCTTGCAAAAATGGCTGAAGAAGCCAGGAGCATTCTGAAAGGATGGGTACACCCCTGACATCTGACAGAGATAGATGACGATCTTGTCCAGAGTCTAAGAGAAAAAGCAGAATGGAAGTGGGGAAAGGTGGAACAAGATGTGTTTGATGCTATCAAAGATCAATTCTGAAACAGAGTAGTATTGGCGATACCCTTGGATGAAGGAAAATTTTGAGTAGAAGCAGACACAAGTGAAGAAGCAGTAGGAGCAGTGTTATGGCAAGAACAGGAGGGAAAGTGGAGGCCAGTAGCCTTTATGTCAAAATCTCTTTCTGCCATGGAACGTAATTATAAGATTTACAACAAGAAGTTACTAGCAATCATGATCACCTTAGAGGACTGGAGGCACTACCTGATGAGAGCGTGCAAAGACTTTGAGATCTGGACTGATCATTTGAACCTTCAGTATTTCTGTAAACCTCAAAAGCTCAATCGCTGACAAGTGCAATGGGTAACAGAGCTAGCAGAGTACCAATTCATGTTGCATCATACTGTACCTGACCAGGTGATAAATCAGAGGGAGAACCGAATCAGGTAGGAATTTATGGGCTTTCCCCTCGCTTTTGGGCAAGTTCAAGTAGTACACATTTGTCATGTACTTCTTCTGTATATACTCAGAAATAATCAGCCTCTGAGAGTACTAAATAACCTTAATAGAGCCGACACATTCTGACATGATCGACCAATTTCTTAATTGGGTTGCCTTTTTCAGTCACTTGAAACTTTCGCACACCTCTCATGCAGTCCCATCCCATTATTGGCTTCAAAAGAATATACGAATATCATTGAAGATACAATATAAATTATCTCTGCAACTTGAATCACTCTCAATGCTCATAATTCAGCTCAAGGACATGAAACAATGCTTCCTGTTCCAAATAGAGCATGATCTCATTATGGTACAATGCAAGGTCAATTCTGGTCAAAACATGGGCATGGCTAGGGCTGCTGAGGATAATTTTGGGGACTATAGATCATAAACTGATATAAACCTATTTTTCCGGATTTATTTGGTCCCAATCTGGCCACATATAGTCTGGATTTTCTTTCGGTGTGCAAATTCGGCACTATCCTCTTTCTGTCTCTCTACCTGCTTGCACACGTAGACCCAACATGTCTGATGGTTAGAACTTTTCATATATACACACAAGAGGCTGACTGATTCCATTAACAGCAGCAGATGACACAGTTTCTGAGCCATACAGCTCTCCTCATAAGAAGGCTCCTTGGCATGGGTGGGATAAAGGCTCACCTACTATAGACCCTACAAACAGGTGCATAATGCCACAAACAGTTTAGATATTCATCTCTGATGTATCCTTAGCAAGCCCTGGCCTGACCCTCCTCAACTACCAGACTGGGATACCATTATTGTGCCCGATGAAGCACCAACTGATGGATATTATTCATCCACTGTGCAATTTGCTTGTATCATGCAGAAGCTTGTGCTTCTTGGCCCAGAGGATGATGATGATGCAGAAATGCTACAAGCATATGAAGAGATATATGGTACAATAAGCCTGGCTGTAGATCTGCATGGCTTTCAGCTCATCAATGAGGTTTGGAGGCACATTTTAGTGGAATATTTTTGGATGACAAAGGAAGATGAGATGGGGGAGCTATTTAAGAACATGAAGAGGAGACATGCTAGGGAAGGAAAACGGTTAGATCTTAGTCAACGACCTGCTGCTGTACTCTCTCTCATGCTCACAAAATGCCCTCACACAGATGACACATAATGATAAATTAGTTTCTGTCATGCTTAGTCAGATGTGACTTGACATGACATCTGCACCACTGTTCACATACCTTGCACACAAACATCCCCCAGACAATGGTCAAAAGCCTCCAGGCAGCCAAGGAGGCTGCTGAAAAAGAGGCCCAGCTTCAGATTGCTCTCAAGGCTGCTATTGACTCTGGTTTGGATGGCAAAGGATGGCCCAAATTGTCACTTTGGGCAGCTGCAAAACAGTATGATGTTAGGTACTCAACACTTACAGCACAATGGAATGGCCAGAAGACATGTATGGAGAGTCATGCTGAACAGCAGAAACTGACTCCACCACAGGAGAAAGTATTGGCTGATTGGATCAAGGTGCTCAGCAAACAAGGAATTCCGCTCAGTCTTGAAGCAGTCACAGAACGTGCATCACATATTGTTGGGGAAGAGGTCTCAGTTAACTGGGCACAAGGATTTCGGACACACCATCCAGATCTCAAAGCAAAGTGGACGACTTCTTTGGAATCATGTCACACTGAGTGCTTGAACCATCCGATGATGAACCATTACTATGACAAATTAGAGACAATTATGAAGGAGTTTGACATTCCACAGGAGAATGTCTACAATATGGATGAGAAGGGGATACAGATGGGGATCGGAAAGCGCACCATGGTTCTTGTGGACTGTGACCAGAGAGGATCCACATACCACATTGAGAACAGGGACTGCAAACTGGTTACAGTCATCAAAACAGTCTGTGCAGATGGGACTGTCCTGCATCCAAGCATCATCTACAAGGGAAAGACGTGTGATTTAGCATGGGGTCAGAAGAATCCTTGTAATACAAGGTGAGTGGACATCAGCAGAATATGCTATTGGGGCTTACAGCATGAATGACAGTATATCATTCTCTCCGAAGGGCTGGACCGATAACAAGTTAGGCTCAAAATGGCTTGAGAATGATTTCGATCCTGCGACACATGCACGAAACGTATCTGGAAAACATCAGCTTCTCATTCTTGACAGTCATAATTCACACTGCACTTACCGATTCTGCTCATATGCCGAGGCTGCAATGATCATCATCCTATGCCTGGTTGCACATACTACTCATTGGGCACAACCCTTGGATGTGGGTTGTTTTGGACCTTTAGGATCGGCATAGAAGAAGGAGGTCATGGCAGCATTGTGACAATTCATCTGGATCACTAAATATAACCTATTAGAACTTTATGACCAAGCACGAAAAAGGGCATTCCTACTAGATACTGTCACCAGTGCTTTCTGCCATACAGGAATTTGGCCTGTGGATCGCTATGCAATTCCTGAGATTGCATATGAGCCAGCAAAGAATACTACAACACACAGTGCTCAGCCCATTGCTGCCGCACTTCCAACACTTCTTGAACCAATCCTAAAGGAGGATGAGAGCCCTGGAGATGATTCCACAGAACCCGAAATGACACCATCATCGTCACTGGCTCATGCATCTTCTGATCCAACACCCACATCTCCCCCACCAAGAACATCATCACCTGTGTCAAATGATTCAGCAAGTATCCCGACAGGTGCAATCACACCTCCTACCCGAGCCAATAGTGTCCTTTCATTTGAGCCAATGACAAGCTCTGGCGGTGGTTACCAACTAGCCAATTTTCCTGCTCCATTGCCTCATAATGCATCCAAACAGCAGCTATGGAGTCAGCTTGATTGCCTTCAAGACATAGACATACAAGCGAAGGATCAAATGGAAAGTGACTATGCTGCAAAGAAGCTAATGGATGGTGAGAATCAGTTGCTAAGACAGCAGCTGTTTGTGAAGAAAAACAAACCCAAAAAGCAGCATCTAGGAGGTGCAGGTGCTTGCCACATGACTGCACCTGAAATGCTCCAGGCACTGGCTGAGGCTGATTGGAAGGACAATATCAAGGTGTTCCATGAGGAGATGAAAGTGCTAGAGCAGTTTCAGGTGTGTCGAGCAGCAGCAGAGAATAGCTGGCAAGAAGCCCTCCCAAGTGTCCTCATGTTATGCCAATGCCAATCTACAAGACCACTCGACCGGTTTTACTTCCGTTAACCAACCTGCAGCCTCAGCTGAGACCAACAGTGCCTACAGACACTAGCACAGGCCTATTGGATAGTGGAGAGGGGCATGACTTGTGGAATATTGACCCTGCATTGAGACAGGACAAAAATCAGGGAGAAATGGAAGCAAATCAATGTGGAGTTACTGTGGGATGCGATGTCAGAAATTGCCAAAGTGTGATTTGTTTCTGCCTCTTTTGGTCTGAGGGTCACTCTTTTCACAAATAAATTCATAGCTTCCTTAATTTTGATACAGAACTGAAAGACTGCTGTAATAAGTACTATTACCAAGTTATCTAATAAACTGTCTCCTCAGAAATGCCCAAAACTGCACCACAAAAGACTAAGTTCAAGGTGCAGACTAATTGATTCATTACCCAGTCAGGTACAGTAAGCCCGGTGCCCAGAACTGAAAGATAGACTTGTTGAGCAGAAGGGAGGACCACCAGCAGGGAAAGAAAGATAACAAGAACATTGTCCTGTTAAAGCCAAAAGTTTTCAGGGCATTGATTATACCGACAGAAGAAGAAGTCCATGCCAAGATTTGCAGAGCAATGAAACTCCCTAGCAATTGGGACCAAGGAATTGTGACTTCCCTAAACCATGAAAAGGGAATTTGCAAACAAGATGGCCTGTTGTACTATGATGGCTGAATATACATTCCAAAGAATCGAGAGTTATGGGGAGAAATCATTGTGCAAAAGCATGATCACAAGATGGCAGGTCATCCAGGGATCGAGAAGACAAAGAAGTTAATTCTCTGTGATTATTGGTGGCTGAAAATGAGGAAAGAAGTAGAAAAGTATGTCAAAGGATGCAAAACTTGCCAGCACATAAAACCAACATGCAATCAAAAAAAGGCCCTGCTACATCCGAATGAAATCCCAACCAAGCCTTGGGATCACATCATGGTAGACATGATCACAGGGCTGCCAGACTCTCAAGGATACAATGCAATACTGGTAATAGTAGATCAATTGTCCAAAGCAATTATCCCAATCCCTTGCACCAAGGAATTGTCATCCTTAGGATGGGCAAAAATACTGTGTGATGAAGTATATGTATAATATGGGGTGATTCCCTCAAAAATCATATCAGACCAAGGAACAGTGTTTGTCTCCAAATTCATCAAGGAGTTCTATGCCATCATCAACATCAAGGGGAACTCCTCCATGGCCTATCATCCTCAAACAGACAGACAAACTGAACAGGCAAACCAGGAGGTAAACAAATACCTGAGGATATTTGTCAATTATCGACAAGATGATTGGGTGGAATGGCTCCCACTTGCAGCATTCACTCACAACAACAGGAAACACTCTGCAACTGGATATTCCCCATACAAAGTGAACTTTGGGTGAGATGGACAAACAATGGTCATGAAGGAGAGAAAAGGAGAGGTTCCTGCAGTAGAAAGATTTATGAACAATATGAAGAGAACACAGGAACAGGCAGCAGAGAGTATGAAGAAGTCATATGACAAGCATAAGAAGAATGCAGAATCATACAAAATAGGTGACAAGGTGTGGTTGGATACCACTAACCTCCATCTTCCTCGACCAAAGAAAAAGCTGGACAATAAACAAGTAGGACCCTTTGAGATCACTGCAAAGAAAGGCCTCTCTGCATACAAGTTAAAACTACTGGTCAGATGGAAGATCCACAATCAGTTCAACAAATCACTGTTGACTCTGTACCATGCCCCAGAATACCCAAATCAGAGTATTCCCAGTTGTCCCCCACTGGAACTCATTGATGATGAGGAAGAATATGAAGTAGAGGAAATTGTAGGAGAGTGTTAGGATCATGCCAATAGGATTGCGGCAGAAAGTGCACGTAGCGGAATGCCGCAGGATGCGTCGGGCATAGGTGAAGCTATTAGCAATGTCACCCCTGAGCTGAAGCCCTAAGATGGATATGGACAGAAGTCCGTGGAGTGGCAGAGACGAGGTAAGAGATAAGTCCAACAGATCGGAGTTCCGCGGACTGGAGAACGAGAGTTTAGACTTAGAGTCAGAGAGAGAGAGATTGGGCTGAACCAAGTTGATATTCGAACTGAGTATCTACAGTGTAATTCTAAGGCTTATATACTAGTTAGGAGTCTGATCTAGTTCCTACTCGGAGTGGTCTACATTCTAGGGTTGTCAGAGGATGTATTCTACCGGTCGGTAGCCGATGGGGTCCGATGACATATTCGCTACCGATGTCGGGCTATTGATAAATTGTAATGGAGAAGTGAAATATAAAAAGGAATATGAAATAGAATATGAAATAGAAACTGGGAATCGGGATCCGTAGGATTCCGGGCTGTGGTTTGTTGAGTTGAGTGGAAGTCGGGTTTTCGTTGGCATGCTCATTACAGAGAGAGAGACCACACAATTGGAAGAGGAAGGACCAGAAGGACAGTAACAGACTACCTGGTCAAATAGAAGGGATACCTGAACAAGAAAAACTCTTGGGTCACGAGAGCAAACTTGAAAAATGTGGAAGCCCTAGTCAACGAGTACGAAGCACGCATCCAAGTACTAAAATCCTGAATAGGTGAACCCTCCCCTAAAATACCCAATCCATATGATGTATCAGATGGTTTTAAGAACTCCCCTGGGACATAATCACACCTTTCAACTCTGACTGTAAAACAATATATCCACCATCCGATATGTCAGAATCTGAATGTTGTGACCATGACCTACAGGAGCGAAAGGAAGCAATTGGAGGGAGCAGCGCAAACACCTTAGACCTGTGAGACTTCAAAGGATCCCTCACACTGGAGGATCTAGAAGAAATGAGGAAATTTGAGGTGCAATTCAATAGAAGCAGTGATGATTGGTGGTCAGAAGATGACAACAGTTCTTGTGAATCATTTAGGACAAATGAGTCTCAAGGAGAGGGTAATGTTATGATTTCTATGTTTTTTCTTATCTTCAGCACTAGCTTTATCTTATCAGAACATCTAAGTGCTCAGACCGTTCACACACCTAGATGGTGCAGCTATCATGACGTGCCTGCAGCACATGTTCTTTGTTGTTTCACACATGGTTACCACTCAGTAGTATACTATTATTAGCACACTGAATATGTATTTAAGTAGAGTCTCAGCTGGCTTAAACCCCAGCTTCAGCTAAGGTTTAATCTATTCAACTCATAGCTCCTTGCTCTGCAACTATCTAAGTCTAGTTATCGACTCAATACCCTGACATTGTCTACATCATGAACGTTCCACTGAAGTGCAAGTGGTGTTCCTTTGTTTGATATTGTTTGGCAAGTTGGTGGCTAACAATAATGATGATGGTGTGCAGTCAAGGCCTGCATACACTGGCAACAGCTGCAGCAAGATCCAAACAATTGAGCTTTTTTCACTGTCAAAACAAAAAAATATAGCAACTGGCATGAACTCAAAAGAGATGGAGAGGATGGCTCCATCTTGCTATACTCCCTAGTTCATGCACATAATGTTGACCAAATACAGCATTGAGCAAATTATCAAGTCCCCTCATACCACTGTCCTCTGTCTTTCAGCAATAGAAAAAGGCCAGTTCCTAGCCAGCAGAGATGTGTTGAACTGTTGTCTTTAGTCGCAATCATGCTGGATTGATATATAGTACCCTCCATGGTTACCTTATCTGTTGGAAACAGATCAAGAATATAAATGTGAGTACTACATGAAGTCAGGCATGTCTTCATACTGGATTGAGTTATAGGATTTTGAGGAGCTGTATTGCTTGCATGTTGGCAGTGCCACCGAGATTACAGCACTCGACTTTGATCCACTGTCTTATTGATTGGCACTATCCACCTGAAATGGTACTATACAGGTACACAAAGTGGCTACACAGATGAAATTACATGGCCACATCTCCATCATCATTCAGAACTGCGACCTGAGGGCCATCTGCTTCCTCCCCAATGAGGAGAGCCAAAACATCATCATGTTTGGTTGTCACTCTGGCAAGATGTATGTCTGCTATAGTGTCATGTTACTCTATCTAATGATATCAACAGACACTTGCTATGAGGGCATGATGGGATGATTATAGAAACATATGATGCTGGAGGTATCATGTACATGCATCAATTCTACCACTCAAATTACACTAATGGCATTGCAGTGGTCATGCAGCAGTAAATACTGCGAAGGATGTGTTTGGTATAGATGACCCTTCACAAGGGATAGCTCTGTATCATGTTGTGGATGGGGCAAAAGTCAAAACCCTTCCAGTCAAGACTACAAAGACACTGTGGCTGTGACAAGTTGCCTTTACTCAAGATTCCAAGATTGTCATGAGTGGAAGTGACCATGGCATCATCTATGTTTTTGAGAGAAGAGATGGGAGTGTATCTAAGCTGACCACTGAAGACACTGCATGGGTCCAAACCTTACAGTATGTTACTGATTACCCCCCATCTCCAAGCTGGCATGAACTGATAGAATGATAGACTGCAAGCATGAATGGTATATTGACTATCATAGCAGCAAGTTCTAGAGACATAGGAATAGACTCTAGTAGAATCTATATTTGGAAGAACAAAAGTCAGCATCTCAGTGATACTGACATTGTGAAAGACGATGCACTTACCTTGTCATGCTACAAAAATTGAGTAATCATAGGGCTTCTCATTGCATTGTTTTTGCTGAACTCTACAGTAAGGCAGCTATTGTGCAATGTAGGTGATTTGCTGATTTGTTGCTCTTCAGACTTTACTGTTTGTGCTGGACTGCATTTGGTCATTAATTAGTAGCTTCTGGAGTGGTATAATGCTACTTATGTAGCTATTAACATGGCAATATGGCACTATGAATGAAATAAACATAGTACAACAATGTTTAGAACAAGCTAATAAGTGAGAGGCAATGTAAACATTGTACCACAATGTTTCTGCCATGGTCCAGGGGGACTGCTGACTAGACCTGTAACTGGTCACCTTCTATATATGGGAGCAAGCTCACGATATATTCATAAGACGACCTGTACAACTGAGTTTAAATTTAGCAGGTTCATTTTTGCTGACCACGCACCTTTCTAAATAGATATAGCATCCAAAACGAGAATGTGCTGAAGGCGTGGTCACCTCTTGTAGCGATGCACTGTAGGATGTCTCTCATTCTGGATTTTTTAATGATAGTGCCATTATTCTCATTCATTACTACAATTCACTTGGCGAAGTTCTGTCCAGATCACTACCACCCTCAAATCAGCTTGGTGGCCCTGAAGAGATGGACAGAAGTACAGAAGAATGTGATAAAGGGACACCTTCCATATGACTGAGGAAATATTATTGAGTATATTTTGGGGCCAACTTTGGGTCCATTGATTGAAGGAGGACTGTGTAGACAGTATGCAACACTGTCTACAAGAACAATTGTATAAATGCCATACCACAGTGTTTAGACAATGTCTGAATAGAACAGGATGGATGTCCAACAAACATCCAGCTGTTGGGGTCCTACACTCATGTGTGATAGACCAGAGCCTATACGAACATACATGATGGTCAGATCCTCAGGCAGACAATGATGACAGTTGTAGACTGAGGAGGAATAAAGCCTGGGATCCCATCCCCTGCCAACACACCCCCATCAGCAGGACTAAGGTCGTCATACAAGTCCAAGATAGTTGGCATGTTTGGCATAAAGGTTGTGTGCAAGAGGCTTTGTCATAATATCTGCAGTCATGTCAAGAGTCGGAACCCAGTGTGCTTTAAATTTCTTGTCACGTAGATGTTGGCAAATGAAGTGATATTGAATATCTACATGCTTGAGTCGAGGGGAATTGGTCTTTGAAGTAGCAATGTCGAGAGCTCTCAGTGAATCCACAAGTAATGGAAATGGAGAAGTCATCAGCAGGTAAGTCCATCATCAACATGAACTGGTACTATGAGGAATAGATTGGAACCATCTGCAGGAACTTGTATGGTTGGATGAGAATGGTTGACATTCCACCATGTGCTGAATACTGCAGTGTCAACAGAGCATGGGTGGAGTCCTATAGCATTTAGTGTAGGAGACAATTCCTCAAACCATTCATGGGATGACTGTTTAAGTCCATAGAGTGCCTTTAATAGTCATTGAAAAGCAGATGGATCAGAAAGAGGAAAGCCAGGGATTTGTTTGATGAATACTTCTTGTTTGAGAGGAGCATTAAGGAATGCAGTTTTGACATTGAATGTGTAGAGTTTGTGATCATATTTGTTGGCAAAGGCTAGTATGATCCGAATGCTGATGATTTTTGTGACAGGTGTATATGTTTCTCCATAGTCATCAGGTCTTTGTGTGTGGCCTTGGGTGACAATCCTAGCTTTTGCGATTGTGCCTGATGCATCAGTCTTCCAGTCATATACTCATCGGAGGCCTATTGCCTTGTGACCTGGTGGGAGCTTCTCGACTATGGTGGGGTCAAAGACACCCTTTTCCATCATGGCTGAGTGCTCCATGTTCATGGCAGTCTTCCAACAAGATGCATCTGGGTGAGATAGTGCTTCTTCATATGTGGCAGGAGGCTTGGACAGATCCCATTAACATCCAGCTAATTGTTTCTGGCTAGGAGAGAACATGAGATATACAGATGAGTAAGATGTTGTACACCATTCATCATATGTGAGAAGTGAGATAAAATCATCTTCTCGTTTGATTAGCATGAGAGCATATAAGGTGAATATATTGGATGTAGTTACAGTGTTCAAACATCCAGGTTCGCTCTAGAGAAGAAAAATAAGAGCACACTGTCAAGCAAAAGTGCAGTAGCATACCGAGATACAAGAGGCCTCTGAGTCTTATTCATCATGATATTCTTTGCCATGGGACCTGCTCAAAGTCTCTTCAAAATGATGGTATCATTGCTAGCATTGCTAGCTGCTGACTCCTAGAGGAAGTAATTGCATTTAATGGTGGCAGTAGTCATGACGGCTGCATGGTCTTGTTGCTATCCATGATGCAATCGGCTGGTATGATAGTTGCAAATGAAGTACATATGATCATTAGGTTAGGGTTCCACTCTCAGAAATTGGATGTCTGGCTCGCAGGACTGCATGCAAGTCTGAATGAGTAGAACTAGTCACTGTTGAATGTTGAACACTTAACATATGCTGACAGTGAAGCAAACAATTTTATGAGCATAATGGAGGTACAAAAAAGCCTAGAATGCTATTTTATATGCAGGAAGCTCAGCAGTACACAATGTGGGGTCACACCTGATGAGGTATTCCGAGTGGTGCTAAAGTATTTTGGACGTCAGGTCGGACAACAACAGCAGTACCAAGCATAAAAAATTGATCATACAGACATTGAAATGAAAGAACAGGTCATCGCTATCATAGTATAAAGCGACGCATTGATGATGGCTTAGATAGTGTTAGAAAGAAGTCAAGATGCAACAATCTGAAATGACAGACCAGCCAGACCGAGTTGTCGCCCTTCAGAAAAGGAAGACAATTCACAGGAAAATGATGAAGGTTGATGAAAATTTCCCATGGGCTGCCCAGGGAGAATCAGATGGCAAACGCCATGTTGGACAATCAAAAAAATTGTTCCAGGTTGGTATAATAACCGATATCTATATATACATATAGGACTCGGAAAGTGAGCCACAGTTGGCTGTCTTCACTGCGACAGCTTTGTCTTCATTGTAAGACTAGAATAGGTGTCGATCTCGGAAGATGTGCAATGTACATGCCGAGTTGAGTAAGGTTCTTACATCCATTAGCAGTGTCACATAGGATTCTTCCTTCATCACATCAAGGAAGTGCGTCATTGACTCAGTGACCAGCTCGATGGCCACAGCAGCGTAACAGTCAAAAAAAAAAAGGTTCTCTTAGTTTATGAAAGCATCAGTACATTCTGTATCTTCGAATTCTGCAAAGAGGTTGTCATCATTCATCATCTCCTTAGCCACATATGATTCCACTGTGGTCTGCTCTTCTGCTACATATGCACGAGTCGATGATCCCTTGTCATTAGGTTTTGGAGGAGGTCTCTGAGCTGTCTGAGTGGTGGGTTTATCAATGTGTTGTTCGGTGGTATGGCCGAGCACATTGCATTTGCCACATTGTGGACAGTTCTGAGAGTGAATCATTCTGGATGCTTGATACTGGGAGTCGAGTGTGAGGATTCTGTTTGTAATATGCATGAAATAATTATAATCAACTCTATTGGGATTCTTGAAGCAATTGTTGTATACTTCTTGCTTGATTGCAATGTAGGGACTGTTGTTCTTGTTTAGGAGGTTATTGACAAAATCCAGCATGACGTTCGTATAGACCACTAATTGACGAGAGGTCTAAATGGCAAGCATGACTCTGTGCTATTAGGTAACAAACTTGAGTATATTCGTCATGCCTGCTTGATAGTTGTGGAGGCATGCTTAGGCTGCATGTGCCAACACCGTGTTGGCCATCTCATAGAACTCCTTGAGTGTTGCAAGTGCAACTTGTGCAGTGACTCCCATTCCAGTATTGGGATCCACTGCTGGTATGAGAGCTGAAGCTTCTGGTGAGAGGCGGGATTGGACAATGTGTAATGCAATAGCATCATGGCATCTCCAAGTCTTGTATGTTTTTATCTCCACTGGTGACGAATGTTTGTCAAAGCGAGAAGGATAAGATGGTACTTCTGTCAGATCCACTTAACACTGGTTAGGATTGGGAGGGTCACAGAGATGGGGCTTTATGCCACAAGTACCCACCAAGGTTATGATGCTCTTGTACCAAATCCTCCATGCAGCTCACCCAGTGAGTTCTGGTATAGACGAAGTGGTAGGTAATGTGGAAGAAGTTGTGGTATTCAGTAAAGTATAATTGTAATTGTATGTATTATTCAAAGGTTGGTTGTTATTTTAATAAGGTAAAAAAGGATGGTTATTATTGTGCGAAACAGGAGCTGGGGCAGAAGCAGTATGTATGGGGATAAGACGATGAATATTTAGTTGTTGTTGCTGTTGTTGATTGTAATGTTGAGTCTGCAGTATGTAATGGGATGGTTGAATTGGTTGTTGATAATAAAAAGGATAAAAATAATAAGTAGAATCACTGGGCAGAGGAGCCATCATGGAGTTCAAGGCAGAGGCAAACATATTGGGGGGCAGAGGAGCTGAACCTTGGTAGTGCTAGTGTACATTATCTGGAGTGCCTTGATACTGGTTATGAAAGTTCGGTTGCAGAAATGGAGGATGTGGAGGTGTGGTCAGGTGAAATGGAGTATGTGGGTTTTTGGGCAAGGAATTATCAGAGTCAGGCTGGTGAATGATTGTATCACGAATCACTGTGCTGACAGAGCCAAAAACATAAGCTGGAGAGAAGAACATGGAGAAAAAAAAACTGGATATATGTGTCAAAGAATGCAGAGAGAGGCGGTAAAACTGGGTTATGGGAAGAATGCGTCTGAATACCAGGGTATATGCATAGGAAAATTGTGTCTGCAAGGCAAAATGGGTCAAGATGTGATCAGGGGCAACTGAATCTCGCTCATTGGGCAAATTGAGTCAATCTCGTCATCTTCATGCATCATACAAGCAGGTCTAGATGAAGAATCCCATAACCTGATAGACCAGAGCCTATATGAACATACACAATGGTCAGATCCTCAGGCAGACAATGATGATGGTTGTAGACTGAGGAGGAATAAAGAAGAAACTATGTAGTAATGTCCATGGTCACATGTGACATAATGCATAAGGCATGATTAGTCCATGCTAATAAGTCCTGAGATCTCATCCTCTGCCAACAACATGTTTTTGATATGCTCAGTAGCTAAGCAGCTTCAGCTTCAACAACTTCAGCTGAGCTGCTCACCATTAATATTATGCTTTCACCATTCCATGCTTGATCATGAAGCCACCCAGTTTATACACAGACCAAGGTCACCTGCTCTCTCATGCACTGCAATGATCCCAGTGCCAATGTTTTGTCAAGGCTACACCAAGCACTGGAATCTCACAATTCTCAAGGATTGAGATCCTCCTTTGACTTGCAGTCAAACAAATGGGTTGAATTTTTGTATGTTATCACATCTTAGGCCACTTACACTGCTCATAATTCTCTCTGTCAGACACCCTCATACCCTGCTTTGCCCTCATATCCTAAACACATACTATACTGAAGATGACTGCCATATGAAAATCCATAATGATGGCCCCAGGTCCTACTAGAAAGCCAAATGTCATCAATGTGACTTCATCAGTAAGTGCACTTCTCTTGTATTCTACTCATTGCTAACAGTGCTTTGCAGTCTTTGACCCCTCTTTAAGCAGGGACCATTCCAAAATTTTATATCATAGTGAACGACAGGCATATTTTTTATAAGCTGTTGCTCTAAAACAGGCTTCTTGCAGTTGGTCATCCTTCTCTCATTGTGTGTATTGTGATATAATTATTTACAGATGAAAATTTAATTTATACTCTTGCAAAAAACTATGATAGTGGTGTCTATAGCTGTAAGCATATCTGATGTACATTATTTCTGTATCTAATGCATAAAATACTCAGGCTATCCCAATATGCACCCCATACTGAAAGAACCTCTCCCTTAGTACATGGCACAATACACCTCAGCCAAAGCTGTCCAAGCAAATCTACAATTCTTTGACTCACCCATTGGACAGCGCATCCGACAACTTCTCTCCCTAATTGGTCTTGTCCCTGCATCCCTATATCAATTACTTAGGGAGAGCAAGGAATGCCCAGCATGTTGCTGCGTCTTTTCCATCAACAGGTTCAATGCCCATCTTAATTATAATAGTACCTGCAAGAATTGGCATGAGCCTATTACTGGTGAGTTCCTCGTTGCACCAATTTATTATTGTCTGATGTTTTCCATCAGTGGATCATGCTTGACCTCTTGATTATAATGTGTGGTGGCTCAGCATTCCAGTCGTCGATGGCCCCGATCTCTGGAATCCACTAGGGATGGCATGGCATGAATGGAACTCATGTATTGGAGTCCCTCAGGATATTTGGGCCATTATCTCTATGGGCAATGTGTATTGTGCTTATTGCTTTCACATCTGTTCTTTCCAAGCACACTTCGACCATGGACCCTGTAAATATGATAGCTGTATCTCTGACTTCTAAAATACCTGCATCCTATTTTTAATGAAATGATAATCTTCATTTCTAATTTCTGTTGCAGTAGAAATTTGAGTTCATATTTGCCCGTTTTCACTAGTGTACAACATGCCATAATGATATAAGGTACAAGATTGCAACTGCTGACAATGACATGGATTGCTGACTCTTGCAATGATATTACTTTTTATGTCTTAGAAATGAGATAGCAAAATCAAAATTTCATAAGAGTGCAGGAAGACAAAACAAAGGATACATTTTATGTCTTAGAAATAGGATAGCAAAATCAAAATTTTATAAGAGTACAAAAGACAAAAAGAAGAACAAAAACAAAGTATTACTTAGGTATCATTGTAAGAGTGTCACCAAGATTTTTTTGCATAATTCCTTGGCATTTATTGAGGTCCCTCATCATCTTTTTGCACTTCTCTATATTCTGGACCTCTTTTTCATGGATGTTTTCACTCAAAGCAAATAAAAAAGAAAGGTCAGTCCCAAGGCCAGCCATCACTGAATATAGATCAGCTAGTGTCTCCATATGATCCTGATTATTGCTTGTTTTGCTTGCAACTGTATATGCTAGTGTGCAGCTAAGAGTGGAATGGAGTATGCCATGGAAATAAGTCATTACCTCTGGTGGAGGGGTGCGATGAGCTGATAATGCTTGAAGCATTTTGATAGTAGTTGATGCAGGGTGATCAAGGGTAGTGGAGGAATTGGAGGCAGGGAGCAGGGGAGTGGTGTGGTCATTGCTGATGGGGGTGGGAGTGGCAGAACCTGAGTCAGGCCCAGGAGTAGCAACAGTCTTTAGCATAGAGTATGGATGGTAGGTACTGTGGAAAATAAATGAATATGCATGGAACAAATAAAATTGATAATGCACATATATTTCTGTGAGCTAGCAGGAGAGAGATGATGAGGGGGAATTGGAGGACTTGCAGGTGGAGCTGGAGATGGGTAGTTAGGTGGCGAGGGTGTCCTAAGCTCAAATTTGCAGTGCCTAGAAAGTCTAGCATTCTTTCTCAGTGGGGGCAGGGTTGGAAACTGACTGTATACAAAAAGCAATAAATAATTATATTCACAGTATGATTATATATGTATACCTAAGTAAATCCCATGTCTTACTGGCTATAATTGAGATGGATCAAGTGTGAGAAGAAGCAAGAGAGAGTTGGGGAGTGTGGGAGCTGTAGAATTTGTAGTATCACATGATGCATTGCGTCCCTGCACCTTCATTCTAATTTAATTCTGAACTGAGCAGTGTATCAGCATATCCACACATTAACAAGAGAACTCTTCCTGATCTAGCCAGTAAAAAAGAAGCAGAGAGTAATGTTGCATTGACGTTAAGCTAGATATCAGGCTAGACCCATTGCAAAAGTGCCTGCAAGAGTGTTGTACAATAGAAGGTGTAGGCAACTATTAACTGACTGAAAAACATTATCTTCAAACAATAAAAGAATGAGAGCAGGGTGGAAAAAGATGGTCAATGAGTGGTATAAATTCAATGTCCAGCTAGGCTTCAAAACAAACAGAATTACAGAATCCACAGCATTGTATGCAGTGAATCTTAATCCTCTTATTTCATGGACATCAGATGGAACAGTGTGAACATATGAGTAAAGCCAAAATCAATGCCCTCCAGGTCAGGACAAAGCTTGTTGACTTTCATTTTACTGAAACACCTCTAGACATTCATTTGCAAACAGTTTTTGATGCTTATAGGTATGATGATGTTGGAGAAGTTCATCACCTGTGAACCTGTCGATGAATCCATCATGATGGAATTGCATGACAGTACAGGAGATAGGCCTGAAGATGAGAAATTTACTAGAGACAGGCTATTATGCTCAGGCAAAGGCACAAGGGCATAGGTCAAAGAACAGGGTAAGGCTGATTTTTGCTAGGTCATTATTATTCTGACCGAATATTATCACAGAAATACAAGGCTAGAACTAAAATAGTCAAGAAGGTTATATTCTTGAAGACCAAACAGAAAGCGGACAACTTACCAGCATGAAAGTTTATGCAACAACTGATGGAATATCTAAGCAAGGATAGCATGTCTTCAGAGGAAAGCCACACCAGGGTGATGAAAGGGTGAGTGAAAAGGGTTTATCTGGAAAAGATCTGCCTCTGGAGGCATGAAAAGATTATTGAATACATAGACAAGATTGATCGTCTGGGGAGAAATATGGCTAAAAAGGGGAATCAGCCTGCTTCACAAGAGAGGAAGACTTGATCAAGGCTTGATGAGGAAGTAAATGTGCCTACCAAGCTGCCAGAGTCATTGTATGATCCTGCCTGGCTGGAATTGCTGGATAAAGATGACAGAGAGGAGTTGGCAGTGTCAGAGGAAGTCTTTGAGTTGATTGAGCATATGATACCAAACAAAATAACAGTAGATGAAGTGGAATAGATGTAGTCTGATGTCAATTCACTGGTTTCTTTATACAGAAGCATATTAGCATGTGATGCCTATGAGACTGTTATAAGAGCTAAGGCATGCTAGCATATGAGGCTTATAGTGCATGAAGAATTGAGTCTCACTCAGCATACAACACTGAGCGAGGACAACTATGATTGATGTATGACACCTATCATGGCCATGGGGTGCAAGCAGGGTGAGGCTATGTGGCTATACTGTGCCATGAGTTGGTCCAGATCCAAATTCTGAGAAATCTATATAGGGGCACCAGTTTGGTATCTGGATAATATAAGGGCTTATCCATAGGATAATTCTCCAAGTAAGAGTATGAATAGAAAGGTATAGTTAAATTCTCTAGAATAAAATATTTAACTGATTATTTGCTAGGTAACACTTTAGTTACAAGACAAGACTCCTATATCATGTGACCTAGACTTACCAAGCCTCTAGAGTCTAAACTTTGGTGATGCCTCTCACTAAATTTGATACAAAGCCTACTGTCAGTGTTGTACTCTGACAGGTCTCTCATCCATTCTGCATTTGTCTAGCATGTAGTAGCTCAATCTTCTGAAAGTATGATATGTTCTTTGGTGGCACTATGTTCATATGTATTATTTATCTAGTTTGCAGATGCCACCCTCTGGAAGTTCACCTATCCAGGTGACTTGTGTCAATGGCGAGATATACTCTACTGCTTCTCTGTATTTGCATTCCCTTCCTCTTCCTGAGTGGCTTTCTTGCACTTTGAATATACTCAATCCAAATACTGCTAAATATGAGACCATGAATCAATTTCGCTGGGTGTTTAATGATCTTTTTCATATGATGCTTGTCCAGACCTGGAAGCCTTTCTATGGACTTCTGTTTGATTGCCTCACCCTCCCAGACACTAGTATCCCAATCAATGAGGCCTTAAATAACACTTTGGTTTGGGAATTCAATGAAAATTTTTGAAATGATTGGATTACACTTGAAAACAATCTGCGAGCAGTACTGTCTGCCTGTCTCCATTTCAGCACTGCCCCCCTGCCTAAATTTTAGTGGCCTTGGTCGTACCTGAAGTGCTTTGGGTATCAGCACACTCACAGCACCTATTGTAAGGCTGCTATTGCAGTGATACATTCAAGGGATGAGACTTCTACATGTGTCATCTTATTTTCTGGTGCCTAATTATGCTATTTTCAAATGGTTCAGTGCACTGCAACAGTTACTCCCCACTGAAGTCCCAGCTGCTGTGACCATTACAAGTGATTTGTCTCCATTGGTAGAGACAAAACATCAGAATTTTCCTCTGGTGGAGAAGTACAGTGGCCAAAGAGCTAGTGAGGACTGGAAGTCTTTTTTTGCTTGTCAGGAAGTGGAGAATGCGAAGTGTGCCAAAAAGGAGACTGAGAAAGCTTGACAAGAATGTCAGCAACAAATAACCAATGCTGAAAAGCAGGTTGTATCTGGAAGAAAGGGTGCCAGAGTGTTTTATTGGGATAAAAAAGATAGCTTCTTGATTTGTTGGACTGCAGGTCAGAAAAATTATGGCTGGCATTGGAACTATTTTGGTGAAAAGCAGCACTGATATGACTCTTTCCGCAATGAATAGGATCTCTGTGAAGAGCTGGATTCCCAGAATCAGCTCACTTATATGAGTGATTCTGATAATGACAGCGATGACAAAGATCTCTACCATCCTTTGGACAATGATGATAAGGTCCCTCATAATAAAGATCCCTATTCTTCCACTGCAGACCTTGAATGTATCCATGGAATTAGGCCTAAAGATACCTCTATACCAGTTGAGAGCCATGAGAATGCTTTGGATGATATAGTGTATTACTGTTTTAGTTTCATCAACCCTGTCTTCATGGTTCCTGGTCCATCTACCATACCAGAAATGCATCATGTCTGTAAATTTGCTGGTGTCTTGAAGGATGCTGCAGTTTCTCATATAATATGGAATGCCATAACAAGCTTTTTTGGCTACTTGCTAGAAGCCAAGAATATCCATGATATTTCCCATGAACTATATGACCTTAGACAGCATAATGCTGATGTCCATCATCCTGCTGCAGTCAAAATCCAGAAGAAAGTGTTGAACAGTTGACTCTAGTACATCCTTTCTAACCGACAAACAGATGCACCATCTTCCTTTACAATCCTTCTAGCCAGTGCTGCTTCTGTTGTCAAGATCTTGTGGTAAGAATAGGGACCCAGGTTGACTGACATTGTGAAAAAGCTGATAGAAAGAGGGATACCTTTCCATGCAGCAATTCAAGATTCTCAATGACTGCTGCAGAGATCATCTCTGCAGCCATGCTATGGTCTCCTCAGGTATTGTCCCACCAACTATAAGTCTGATAGACTTGAATTCACAACTTATCAAGCTCTCTGCAGAAACTTTCTTACCTTGCAGTGTGGCCATGCTGCTTTGTTGGCAGGTAGCATCCTTGGCTGTATCAGCAAAGACTTTATATTGGATGATGAGGTTTATCCTGGCCCTTCAAATGATGTTTTCAAAACTGGGCTTTCCTTTGTAGCAGATGCAGAATCAGCACCTACTTTTTGGGATGATGCTTTGACTGATGATGAAATCAACCTGCTCTGTGGTGTCTACAAAGTAGACACAGGTAAGTGCTTGTAAAATCAATTTGATGGTCTTAGCTCATACAGTCCATTAGATCATCAAAATGGCAATGAGCCTCAGCTCTTGTTAATATCATGGTTCCCTATTTCTCTTCTCTTATCTTATCCTTATCTCCTGGAACCCTGGACCTACCTATCCTATCTCTCAGACCCATAATATTCCACCAGCATACCTCCCACCTGTTTACCTGGTTGCCATCACCTCAGTTCACAGTTGCTGTATTTCAGATGACTGACATTTTGCATGTACCATCATGCTTCTCATGATAGCATCACACTTCTTAGTGGTTAGACAAGAATCAACTGCTAGTCGAGGGTGGTCTATGGGATATGGTCTATTCAGATGGAGTCCCATGTCAAGACAGGTGATATGCGCTCTTTACTCTCATTCATTGGGAGCACACTTCTTTTAGTGTCCTCACTCCTCATTTGCTACAAAGTGCACTTCTCATTGCATGTGCCTCTATAGACACTATTCTTAGTATAAGTCTGACATGTATTTAAGCTAGCCTACGCTGTGACCTTAGACCCCAGCTTTGGCTAAGGTTATACACTCCTAACTCTTACAAGCTCCTTACTCTCACTATCTAAGTGACATCCTAACTTTTTGCAATCTGCCAAAGCCTCTCTAATACTGAATCACTGAACACGAGTGTCAGGATAGAGATCATGCTTTGGTTCAGATTAGAGTTAGTGCTTAACAGTTTATTTAGATTGATTATAAATTAACAACTAGTTTACAGTGTGGCAAAGCCCAAATCTAGTTCCAGACCCATCTCGTTGTCATCATCATCACAGATGTCATCTAGTTCTGTCTCTACATCATCATCTAATTCTATGTCTTCTGCTTTTTTGTCATTGATAGAGTTCTTGTCAGTCTCCCATTCTTTGTCATCCTCAGCATCTGAGTATTCTTCTTCAGTATCTTTGTGGTCCCCATCTGCTTCAGCTTTCTCATCCACCATGTCAACCATTTCCAACTCATATGGCAGTAGTTCTTCATTGTCCTTGTCCTTGTCCTTGTCCTTGTCCTCTGCCACTTCACCATCACTTTCATCTTCTGAACCCATGCCTACATTCTCCTCTGTACCAAAGAGATCATGTGGAAGCTTATATGCCTTGCACAGATCTTCACAGAAAAGATGAGTTGCATTCCAAGTACTCCGATGGCCAACACCAACACCACAGTAATGAAAAGTCATATTGTGATTCACCCATCTTCAAACATCATTTAATAACAATATTTGGAAGGAACAAGATAGCATATACATGTCAACAGAGTATGGTTCATAGTCTTGTTTATTCTTCTCTAGCCTTTGAGCAATTGATGGCAGCAAAAACTCTGCAGTTTGACCAAGTCTGTACACTGAAAGTAGATGAACTGCTCGAATAATATTGTCTGGGTCAAGAAAATCAAAGGTGCTTGGGTCTTTACCATCAACAAATCTGACATGATGGGGTCACTTTGCTGTGAAGCCTGAGCAATGACTGCTATCAAACCTGTACTAGTGAACTCATGCAAAATCAACATAAAACATCTGTTGGTTCTCATGATCACCATCAGGATTGTTGTAGTGAACATCGGCATGAAAGAGTCCAATAATTCAAGCATACCAGTATGGATGTGTTGTCTCTGCTTCTGAGTCATTAGCCAGAACCATGACATCAGAACGAGTTCAGGGATTATGTTAGGATTGTGCCAATAGGATTGCAGCAGTAAGTGCACATAGTGGAATGCCATGGGATGCGTCAGGCATAGGTGAAGCTATTAGCAATGTCACTCCTGAGCTGAAGCCCTAAGATGAGTATGGATGGAAGTCTGAGGAATAATAGGGAAGGATTGGGAGATAAGTCCACCAGATTAGAGTTCCGCAGACTGGAGGACAAGAGTTGACAGAGTCAGAGAGAGAGATTGGGCTGAACCAAGTTGACATTCGAACTGAGTATCTACAGTGTAAATCTAGAGCTTATATACTAGTTAGGAGTCCAATCTACTTGGAGTGGTCTACATTTTAGGGTTGTTGGAGGATGTATTCTACCAGTCGATAGCTGGTGGAGTCCGATGACATATTTGCTACCGATGTCAGGCTATTGATAAATTAATATGAAGAGAGAAAATATAGAATGGGATATAAAATGGAAACTGGGAATCAGAATTCATAGGATTTCAGAGTGTGGTTTGTTGGATTGAGTGGAAGTCAGGTTTCCATCAGCATGCTCGTTACAGATTAATAGAGTCTTGGTCATGACAAACATCATACATCATATAGTTGATCCTAAGAACCTTGTGGCAAAATATTCAGTCATTGTTCTGCTGTAATCTTGTCACCCAGATCAATTTCATGTATGAAAAGTCAACAAAAAATATGTTTTTTAGGTTTAGGAATGAAGTCCTATAGTAAAAAGCAATTGTTAGAAGACAGTCATAGTATGGAAGAAGGCTTCTTACAACCACAGTAAGATCTTCTTCATTCTTGGCAAGCCATCGGTGAAGATTGAGAGGGTAGTTCCTGGACAGCAACATCTGATAATGATTCTCTGGGTTTCCTTTGGGAAATGGATCCTTCTCATTTGGACTGATTCTTGGAGACGTTTTCTTGGATGCAGCCTTCAGGTTAGATATATGCCCAGCAAGAATTTGTTGTAGTCATCATTGATGGCACTCAAGAATGGCTATTTGCATCACATAGCCTCACTTGTTAGTTTGTGCATAGAAAAGCTTGACCCAGTGATGCTCTTGCTCACCCTAGAGAATCCATAAATACTAGTTAAATATAAAGGCATTCTCACTTATAATCTGGATGCTATATGAGTCAGTAGTGCCAAACCTTGGAATTGTCCAAATGTAGTCACCAAGAGCATAATTCTTGTATGTGAAGAGGTTGAACACTTTGACAGACTTGTAAATACTGCCAGCAGAGGATGGTTTTGCTGAGGTTGCTTTCTTCTTGGCTGTGGTTATCAGTCTATGGACACATGCAGCCATTTCTGAAGGTGTCTCTTTTGACCGGAAGTTCAGGCAAACCTTGCATGAGAAGAGCCGAAGTTGGCAACCAAGCAGTGATGTCACCCCACATAGAACCTCAATGCTTGAGTTGGTATGCATCTAGGCTTTTGCAAAGGCATGCCAGGTCACAAATGCAAAAAATATATCCATGACGATAGAATTGTCCTTACTATCTAAAGAGTCACACAATTCCAGGTCCAGGCAAGTGCCAAACCCAGGTGCACTTGTGAACAGGTAGAAGAAAATCTGCCCAGGGACACCCGTGTTCTTACAGGTGCAAGTCACAAACAGGTGCCAGAGCTGGAGTCTCAAAAACATCAGTACTCACAGGTGATACAGCAACACCCGCCTCACTTTCTGACACAAACTCGAGATTAAATGAATTGAAGATACTAAAGATCTGCACGATTCACAACCCGGATGCACCTGCACCCATTCTGGTAGGACCTGTGATATTGGCAAGCACCATGCCACCTGCACTGCCACCTGGGTGTCATCGCACCCATGCTGGACAGGTACAGGTTGCAGGTGCCACATGGGAGTGCACGGGTCTTTCCTTCTTTCATTGCTTTTCTTGCATTGGCCCAACAGCAGCCTCCATCCATCCCTTCAGGCATCCATTGGTCTTCACTATCACCATCATTGCCTGGTTTATGACTTTGTTCTGCAGAGTACAAATCCCAACAGTGCTGCTCTCAACGTTGATGATCTCTGCCCTTCCATGCCCTGTCACTCTTGTTAAAACATGTCACCGTGAGCTCCTCCTGAGGTAGTACTTCATCCTTGTCCATTGAGTATAACTGATACAACTTTTATAGTATATTTGGACTTATTTTCGAAGAGCGGTGACAACATCTGAAGAGTATGCCAGACCATCTCAACAACATTAGCAACTGTAGCCCACTCTTGATAGCCTGACATATGAATGACTACTTGTCAAGGAAACATTGGGTGGATGATAGCCAGTGAGGGAAGAGGCCAGTTGATTGGTGCATCGTTCATGCAGCCATTGTGATTAAAAATGCATGCATCCGACAAACTGTGAGCAAAGCCAAGTTTGATTATCTTCTCTTCCTCCCTCACAATGCTACCAGCTTGTGAAGTCTACAATTATGGGGTTCCATCAAAGCACTTGCATGCCCCTCCATGTACTCTTCGATTTCCTTCCATCCAACAACACTGAACTCTCTCATTCCCCTCAAACCCTTCCTTGCCTCGTCCATCCTCGATAAACACTGTAACGAGTATTTACATCAGTAGTATTTTCTGCATTTCTCTTCCCTTCAATCCAAATGGGTTTAGGTACATGTTATGCAATCCAGTAGTACTCGGATACCTGTGGGGCTCCAAAAAATCATCATCTTTACTACCATCTATGCACAGTGCAACACTCTTAAGCCTCTATAACCAAGGAGGCAGTAAGAGTAAGTGTTCCCTGCTAGGTAGCACATTTTTTGTGCACCACTGCAGCCCAATTTGTGTCGTTTCCAAGCATCTTATTGGCATCAGTACCCAGCGGGGTACCATCTTGTCCCGCCTCTTTGACCTAGACTCGCTGATGGATACACCAACTCGTTCTGACCCTTGACAATTCCTGCCTCAACATAACAGAGCCGTTACAAGGTGGACGTTCAGGGGACCAAGTTGGCTGTCTGCCGGTTTTAGGCTTAACAAACCTCTCACAGTTTCAATGAATGATTCCTCTTTACACTCGCCCAGTTACAATTTTATAATGCTGCTACATGCATCGCTTTCCTATGTCTGGGAAGAGCTTACCGATCCTGATGACCCATATTCCTCTGGACATCTCATCGATCTGGTAGATCATACACTACATCATTCAGATACCCACATCAAAGGACATGCACTTGGCATCGACACAACCCTCTATTTCCAGATGGTCCATAGTGTCTGTCATATCGAAGACTTGGTCAGTGAAGTGATGCACACACATCACTCGGTCTTGAGTGCGATGGCTCCAAGCTTATTGACCGCTTGTGGAAGGCCAATACCTGGGTATGTATCAGCAGAATATGGGAGGCTTGCTGGTTATATTTGTGCATGAGTATTGCCTGGCTCTTTGCTGCTTGTCTACTGCCTATTCTGCAGGTTTTACCACAGTTCAGGACATATTGAGATTCCAAAGCTCTATATTGCAGGGAGATGCTATGGGAATTCTACCTCAACCTAGGTGCCTACGTGGCTAATGATGGTAACACTACTGCTGCCTCGAATCCTGTTGAAGAGGCTGGCTGTGAGCACCTGTGGAATAGTGAGCAGGCTAAAAGGCGAACCTCAAAAACCCACACACACACTCACACAACTACACAAACTACAATCACCCTCGTAAGTTCTAGGGGGAGCAATTATTTCTAATGTGATCCAACTATACTTCTATATCTTGAAGAGTTTCTCTTATTCTCAGCGCTCTTAGCGAAGCTAAGCTTTCTCTAATGAATCCCTAAGTCTAAGAACTTTTTACAGGAAGGTCGTTCACTGGCGCGACGCAATCTTCAAGGCAGATTTGAGTTATAATACACAAGGGACACTGATCCCGACAGAAACAGAGGCAATACATGCCGAAACTTTAGTGAGCTCGCTAAAAGAACACCACAGGCAAGCACTGACTTAGCCCGCTCGCTACACAACTGTATGTAGGGGTTCTCCAACTAACTCCAGCAGGTTATCTCGACTCAAGAACACTTCAAAAGCGCTTGGAAACAGATTCAGAAACGGAACTTCAAACAGAACTGACACGGAACAGACTGAAACAGAACAGAACAGAACAGATCTCAGATTTCCACTTCAACACATTCTCCAAACAGACTTATCACACTTAACAGAACAGAAACAGCTTCACTGATTCGTATTCACTCTGACTAAGTTCTCAAAAGTCTTATCAAAAGGGTATCTTGTATTTCTCTGAGTGAGCTTGCTAATTCTATGCACAGCTCGAAGTCACAAACTGATCCTTTGTTACAGTACCGCCTTCAATGCTGATATGCCGTCTACGTGTTCACACCTAGATTTTGCGATTTTATAACAATACTGTTGCAGGTCTATCCTATACTAGTCATATATCAAGGGCTATAGTTGAGACTTCGGACTGATAGTCAAGTTAGCATGCTACTAGTCGAGTCAGGACTTAGGAATGATACCACTAGTGGGTCAGCCCTACCAGCCGACCGGACTAGCACCTCCAAAGCTAGTATGACTTAGTAAAATATGGTCACTAGTAAAGAATACAGCTGCTAGTGCCCAAACAAGAAGTAAGAACCCACACAGATCTTGACTATTCAGTCGCTAGTGGACCGATCTGGGCATGAACGCCTAAGTCAGGATGACTAGTCACGCAAGCACTTCTGAAAAGGACTTAGAAATGAACCAGTAAAGGCATAACCCTTAGCCCAGATCCGGCTAGTGTGATACAGATCTCATACGATC